CGTTCTTACATTCAAGAAAAGATATTACTATACAAAAATTTCATACGCGAAGATTTTAACAGCCATGAATAAACGCGCGAGCGGTAAGTGTTGTGGTGTAGCAAAGGCCGTTACGAAACGCCGCTCTTGGAACAAGGTTCCTTTGCTGGACCAATTCCTTAGCACACTTGTGCAATACATTCTTCAAGAGTTGAAATAAAAACACAATTTATATTTTCACAACGTTGATGCTTGATTGTAATTTCAGATTCATCGCAGATTTTTCGTTTTCTCTCGGTTTATATTTTATAAAAGTTTTTTTGGCATCGTCGTGGCACTTTTTCTCGGAAGCGTTTGGACCGCGGCCGGCCGGCACTTTTGACACATTTTCAACACCTCGGAAATCGCGCTGCTTTCTTTTCTCCACAATCTCCACGTACAAAATGAGAAACGAAAACAATGCGCTCCGACACGAGTTCAGGAAAACCGACAAACACACACAAAACGGTTATTTCTGGATGACAAGAATCTTGCAATTCTCTAAAAGTTTGCTACTTATTGTGATGTTTCTATCTAACAGATATAAAGGCAGTTTTTATTTGTAGTTAACTATTAATCATTAAATCTGATGAAATTTAAAGATTTTACATACTTATTGAGAAATGAAGGATGAAATTGTTGATCAGTTTTAGCAATTTTTTGCAATGTATGTATTCAACATTATGCTTATTACAATCTACTTGAGGTTGAAGTAGAAGAACTGAGTATTATGACAAATGAAATTTGTGTCATGAAGTGTATGTTGTAATATGGATAGGAAGAGTAACTGTAGAAGTATGAGTGTGTTTCTAAGAGATGTTAAAATGAGGATATTATATAATCGTTGAATTAAAGGGAATCAGTTATGTATTTAAAGGCCGAAACCGTTTCGAAATGTCATTTGGTTAATTGGTCGGTATTAGCATCCATCGAGCTTTTCCTAGTAAAAGTAAACGAGACATTCCTGAGCAGCAATATACCGGGTGTCCTAGCGTATAACGTAACGTACACGAGGCCCAACGATCTGAACACCCTGTATACGTTACGTACACATATTTTTGTGTTTGTTTCGCGAGTTTATTTATTAAAATCCCCATTAATATGCGGCGCATATGTTATGAAGTCGGGCGCCAGTCTGCTGCTTCTGTGGCGCTGATTCTTTCTCTCTCTCTCCTTCACCGTTTCGCCTCACTCTCTCTCCACTGCTCTTCACTCATCCATTTCTTTCCTGCACACATTACACCTATCCCCGTGTCTCTTTTCCTTCCACGCATACAAACATACACACATACACACGCTGTGTGCGTTCGAGCAAACGCATACAACGAACGGACAGACAGAAACGCACATACTTTACAAATAAGTAAATCCCCCTTCGCGGCGCGGCAACATTCGGGGGACTTATTTGATTTTCGGCGCCGGCTCTAATTACCCCGACGCCGACGCCGGGCGTCGCCACGTGTTCGCCATCTATCGTCGCGACGCACACGACGCCACACGCACCGCGACGTCCGAAGACGCCGGTCGTCGTCGGATGCACGCACGTACACACGCACCGAAAAATCGGGCATCCGAATCAGTAGAAGAAGAAGAAGAAAGAAAGAAAACCGTTGCTCGCGCCTGCACCGAAAATACATTAATTAAGTAAATGTTTTTCGGATGGGAAACAATCCGGTTAATGAACTGTTAAGTTCGGCGCGCCGTCAGGTTTAATGTACTTACTTAGTAGTAGTAGTTACTGGCCGCGTGGAACTCGCGATGCTGCAGTACATCATCATTGCTCTCAAGTATCACAATCATTTCTAGCTATCCGAATTCAATTTGATTTGATTCAATTATTTGTCAAGTATATATATGCACAAGTACTTGAACTAATCGTTATTTCAGTTACGAAACACTTTCCAATTTATTCCAACTTCAAATTTGACAATTGTTTCAGTGGACAACTTGATGTAAATTTATTCTTAATTATTTCATTATCTTAATTATTAAGTCAATGACCCAATTATGAAACGTTAACTTTTTTCCCTCCATAAAATTTCCATTTACTAATTACGTTTGATTAATTCGGTATAAAATGAATAGATAAAACATTAAGAATGCGTTCATCATTGTGGACTACCCAAGTGGAAATTCACACGAATCACGTTGTCTTTCAGACAATGCCATCAAGAGCGATCTGGGAACCGAAGCCCGTTCGTTATTTTTCTTCTCTTCTGTTCTCTGTTCTCTTCCTTTCATTTAAAATGAAGAAGAATGCCTACTCGCGAGAGACCTCTTTTTTTAACTGGATTACATGTCTCTCTGTTCGCCTTACTTAGCGATTCGTATGCGTGTCCATGTGTATGTACGTTTGTGTCTCTTTCCCCATCACCACCATTCTTTTTTCTCGGTATTCGCGTTTGTTTTCCCATTAATGATTCTATTTCAGGTCGTGCATTTGCGCGCTCTGGACGCTCCGTCCTTGGAATATAGAAATATTTGAAATATTCTCGTGCCACACACAAACAGCAAGCGCACAGAAGGAAACGCAATCGAAGACAGTGCATGTTTTTTTTTTTAAAGTTTGCAATCGATTCTACGACTATTACGCTTCTCTTCGATTGTTTCTGTTAATTATTTTTTTGTTCTTCTATCATATTCTCGTTTCGGCGTTGGAGTCGGCAAAGTAGTTTTTTGAATAAATGCAAATCGTATGCAACGCGCGGATAATTTGCATAGCAAATCGACGTTTCTCTGTCTCAATGGTTTATGTGTCGTTTTCTTAGCTTTTTTTTTGTGTCTTTCGTTAACGAATTAAATGTTGATCTGTTATTAAAGAGGTCCGTCTGGTTTCTTCTTTCTTGTTCGTTGGATGATGTTGTTTCTTAGTATTCCGTACTTGGTAAAAGCGAGAGCGAGGCGACATCGCGTCGTGACCCACATTAATTGCGGCGTCGACGTCGTCATCGTCGTCGGCGGTTCTCTTTCATGTGTTCCGCTGGGCGACGTCGTTCGGCGCCTGCCGAACGTCGCGACGCTTCGCTCCACTCCAGTCATACATACATATACACACACACCTTCGATCCGCACGACCGACAGAGGCCAATTACAACAACAATTCCTAATGTGATGCATTGTGGCTGGAGATCAAAGGACTCGCATTGATAAAAGCCCGGCCGGCGCCAGCGTAACAGACCTCTCTCCTGCTGTTGCCGCCGCCGCCACCGCCGCCTCTCCCGTCTCCGCGCGGACGGACGACCGACCTCGGCCCGTCACCTCCGCAACTTTCATCGAACCGCGACCATCGCTACCAACTTTTATCCAACCTTATCTCTCCGGTGTACCGACAGCATTATACCTCCTACTCCTGCTGCACGAAAAGCAGTTAAATTTCGAGCTTGAACGAAAAAAAATGCTACCGCCGTCGCCGCCTCCGTCACTGCGTCCACGTTGATTATGCAACGCTTGGAATTCGATCCGCGACAAACAACTTCTCGCACATACGTACAAATACATTCCACATTTCACGAATTCCACATTACGATAGTCAATTACATCTCAGTTTAATTTTTTTCCAACTATTCCAATTCTAAATGGAATGTATAATATTCATAATTAACGAAATGTTCAATAGCAAAGTTAATTATTCTTAATTAAGATTCGCTTAGAAGAGTAAAATTAATAAATCATCAATCTTTAATTAATTTAGTAAATGTGCAAATCAAATGCATAATAAATTATATAATGAATTTGTAATTTCGAAATGTAGACTTCTGTATATACACGGAGGTACTGCAAATAATCGATAATTTTATATAACTATGTTATTACAATTGCAATACAAGAATCGCATACATATTGATTATTTACAAATTCCAATAAGATTTTTTTTTACTTTGAAAGAATCTAATTTCGTTATTTCTAGTTACTTCAATAATGAAAGGTATTTCTGAATGTGAAACCACAAGTTAATTAATTATAACTTTGGATTTTCTTCAAAAAATTAATATTTGTGATTACAATTTGAAATGGATGACGGAGTGGTAAATGATTGGAGTGAAGGAGGTTCGTTTGTATGGTTAAAAAGGAGGATGATAAATGAGTTATGAACGGAATTTGGGAGAGGGTAAAATAAAAACGGCGAGTCTTGCGAAAACAATGGCGCCACGATGTTTTAAATTAGATTAGAAAAATGTGTCGGAATTTAGTGGAAACAATGGTCGGCGGCGGCGCCAGTCGGATTAAACGCGCGGGCGTGCGAATAAAACACTTTTTAGACCTCCGTCTGTTCATATGTGTATATGTACATAAATATGTTTGAATGTATGTGTCCACTTGTGTATGTGTGTGTGTGTATACGTATGCATGTGTTGTGTATGTTTATATATAAATAAAATACCGCGTGTGTTTATTTATTTGGACTTACATTGTCTATTAATGTGGCCGGAGCGCGTAAACTAATCGTAAATCTAATCCGCGCTTGGCATCCGCTCAAAAAGGCGAAGACGAAGAGGGATCGTCATCAACGAAAATCCTACTGAATGCATATATGCGACGGAAACGGTGGTTCCTCAGGTATCGATTCTTTACCCTACTCGCATTAGGAATCGATATACCTTATGAATTTACACTGGAAATCGAAGTATGTGTATCTTAATTGTTGTCCCTTCTCAACAATTTTGTTTTTTTTTGATATTCCGCGATTCGAGAAAGAACTAATCCGTGGTGCGATAATAAAAAAGAGAGAGCGAGGAGGAATGGTAAAAGGCGACGACCTCCAATAAGAGTATTGAATTTTTATATACATATATTTATATATATATATAGTTGTATATAATTTTCCGATTCGCGTGCGACGCGTCTCTGATCCGACGGAGGGCGCCACGGCGCACCTGTACTAACCCCCCTTTCACCTTTCGCCCGTGTTGCATCGATTTATCACCATTGTCGTGAGTTGTCCAATTAATATTAATTATATCTTCTTTTTGTTGTTGTTGCAGAATCGAATTTCAACGGCTGGTGTAAGCTGGCCTACTGGGAGCTATCCAATCGGATCGGACCCCTGCACACCGTCGAACAGCCCCATTACAACGTCTTCGGCGAAATTCCTCGCGGGGACGGCATGTGCCTTACTCAACTATCGCAGCACAGTTTCAGTCCGCCCCCGACGGTACGGAAGGCGCGAGAAAAAATTGGATTAGGTAAATTAACATTTTTAATTAATTCATTTATCATTTTCTTTGTTTCATTTGTATGTCAAAACATTTTCGAGGTTGGCAATCAGTTAACATGTTTAGTTACTTTTGTTGTTTTTTCAAATTGACATGTTGTGTAATATATGCAACAGTATTTGCGTCAAACATTTTGAGGTGTTTTGCCAAGAAAATCATTGAAAGTGCATTAGCTAAAGAAATTGTCACGAAAGTCACGCTAAAAGAGCGACAAATTAACTGAAACTAATTAAAACTATAAATTAGATTACCTTTAGACATGCATACAGTATGTTGATTAAGAGTTTTACCACAACATTTTTAGGAGTTAATTAGTTTTTCTTATATATTGTCACGAAAGTTACTGAACTGTTTTGGAACCTTGCGACATACATGAAGTATTATCTAATTAAGAGAACCATGTTGTATGCAACAGTTGATGTTTTCAAGAAGTAAATAGTTTTGCATATTTCCTTACATTTTAAAGCATTCAATCAAGTTAGATAAAGAATTTATATAAAATAATTTAATATTTATTAACACATTTGGGAATTTTGGTCATTAAAGTTATAGTAAAGCAACTAAGAATGGAAAATTGAAATGATTGGCAACTTAGTTTTGGATTTCTCAAGATCAGTAAATCATGATGATGAAGTTGAAGATCTATACATGGGGTTATACCTTTCTCGACTAGTTTATGGGCGCGTTCACTTTTTCTTTTGTAATTCCGCTAAGGACACGATTGATTGACTTGAGATATCTTGATCTTCTTTCGCTTCCTTCATCGTAATGTTCTCTATAAATCAACCCTTAACGAGGATCGCACGGATTGACCGTATTTTTCTTTTGTTTGCAGGGGTGACGGTGTCGAGAGAGGAGGACTGCGTCTGGCTGTACAACAGATCGGGATACCCGGTGTTCGTGAATTCGCTGACTTTGGAATCGGAGACGATGTCCAGGTCACCTATTCGACTGCCCTCCGAGCACTGCGTGTGCGTCTTCAATCCAGCACGAGTCGCCCACCAGAACTACGGTTGGAACTTCGCGGAGGGCCCCACCGTTCGGCCGAACTCTGTGCAAGTGAGCTTCGTGAAGGGTTGGGGTCCAGGCTATTCCCGCCAGGAGATCACCTCGTGTCCCTGCTGGTTAGAAATTCACCTGGTGCCGTGTAGGTGATTCCCGCTGAACTGTTTTCTTTATCATCATTTTACTAAAGGCTGAGGATACACTTTCTATGTTTTTTTTTGTTGTTGTTGTTTTTGTTTCGTTATTCTGTTGTAAATCGGATTTTTTCTCTCCCGTTCTATTGTATCTATCTATGATTTCGTTATTCAATTGAAAACAAACAAGAAGAAAGAAAGGAAGTGGAAGAAAAACGTGGATGTGTATGCGAAAACACCAAGATGAAGAAGAAACGAGAAGAAGAAACTTTCTTTCCGTCCTGATATATTTAAAAAAAAAAGAAGAAAAGAAGTGGATCACTCTGAAGAGAAGAAAGATTGTATAGTTTTGTTATATATAAATGATACTGATGACAACAGCAAAGAAACGAAGAAGTGCGGAGGCCAAGAACTCGAGCGAATTCATCGTCGCAAATTTGGGCATTCGTAACAAACCTTAAGTTTAAACAAAAGAAAAAATGTACAGCTTGACATTAGAGAAATTAAATTTCCGCATTTTCAGGGTTTATTTATTTATTTAAAAATCGTCTTATTTACAAGAAGAAAAAAATCTAGACACCTGACAATTTGCACGTCAAGTTGCATAATTCTCATTAAGGTTTTGTAAGCAATTTCGTTCGTCGAGTTGCATATCTCCATTAAAAGTATTGATTCCCACTCGAAACACATCCGAAAACAGAATTAATCAATACCAATAATAATTAATGAAATAATTAAATATAATTACAAATGAGTTTCGATTGCAACTTCATCAACTACTAGTTGATGAAGTTGCATAGCTTAATTAATAAATTAAAATTTAATTGTACATCAAATTGCTGATGATTCCTTATTAAATTAAGGCCCCAAAACAAAAGTGCGACAATGAAGCTCAGGTTTATCTTTCTTCTTCGATTCAATATTCATTCATTTTTATTGATATTATGCGAACGTAATTGTTGTCGATTATTGATGATGTTATTAAGTGATATTAAATATTAAATGGAACATTCGCTGTTCAAAAAGAAGAGAAGAAGAAAAGAAAAACGGTTCTTGGCTTAAAGGAAAGAAGTAAAAAAAAAAGGAAATCGAAGCACTAGCAGATCTTTGAGTAGAAGCTAACCTTCTATTTGTATTTAATTGTGAAATTAAGAGAGAGAAAGAGGAGAAGTTTAATTACTTTTTTTTATATATATGAAAATGTACTGAGAAAAAAGAGATTGTAATTTGGAGTTGTAATCCAAAGATTTTATTTTTGTTTCTGTTCAAATTTGATGCCTTTTGATCATCGGCTTTACGAGAGATGTACACGTTGGATGATTGGAGGTTCTTGTAGTCATACTCTTGTACTTGGTGCTTTAAGTAGAGGGACCATAAAAAAAATATTTGAAAGAAAGAAATATATATTATTAAACGAAACCAAAAGAGAAACTGAACTTTTGATCGCTTCGCAAAGAGTCTTTTTTTTTGAAAATTTATTTATTTTTTTTTAAATTTGCATTTTTCGTTTGTTCACTACTTGCGTTCGTTTAGTTTCTTCCAGCTGATAGTACAAGTTGTAGAGTGCGGCGATTTTCCGCGACATGTTTTGTTTTTCTTTTGTTCTTTTGTTGGCGCGCTAGATGAAAACGAATGCCGCCTTTCCAATCTGCCAGGAAAGTCGATCACGTTTCCTTTCTTTCACGCCGATTCGAAATCATCATTATTAGAATATATATATATATATATTATTATTATTTTATTATTTTTTTGATATGAATATATCTTAATTTAATTTAAATAACCTGCTAGTCAGAATTTATTAATTAGGTGTAAAGGAGGAGGAAAAGACGAGGAAGGAAACAAATCCATGCCATTATATCTATTATTATTTTTTTTTTGTATATTATTAATATTTCGTAATTCTCGCCACGAGAAGAGAAAGACAAAAGAAAATGCGAGAAAAAAAATCTGTAAATATTCTATTATTTTTTTTTTGTATAAAAACCCGAATTTTTGTTTTGTTACTACACTATTATTACTTGTAATTGTCAATTTTTTTTTTTTCGTTTTTGTTCCCGTATATATACATATATTTTTTTTTGGCTGAATTTGTGAATTTCACCGATGGCGAAATTTGTATCTGTATGGATAATAATAATGGACGCGTGGAGACGGACCTTTTGTATATGTTGTAAATATTAAAGAATATTTGTAAAACAGCAGTGCCTTTAAAGCAATTGAAACGTGAAGAATTTGAAACGAAACAAGAAGAAAAAAACGAAGTAAAATTTAAAAAAAAAAAAAATAAACAAAGTAATTATATTTAAAAAAAAAAAGAAAAGAGAGAACATTGAGAATATATAAGACAGCTTAATTTATTTATGTAAATTTTTCCTGTATATTATTATTATTATTATTATTTTCTGTTTTGAACTATTTTATGTTTTATGTTTTATTACGTTTCCCCTATTATTATTATTTTTTTTTTTTGTAAAAGTTGTCTTAATATTTAATTTATTTAATATTTTTGTACAGTGGTTAAACATAAACGTGAGAAAAAAATAATGAAGTTGAAGAGCGAAGATGAATTTGTGTTTTTACATGAATTTTATCAGTGAAGAAGAAGGAGCAGAAGAAAGAAATAAATATTATAAAAAAATATAAATAAACGACCGTCTTTTCTTTTATTTCCCTTTGTTAAATCGTATAAAACAGATAAAGACTTTAAAAGTTATGTTTATCAACTATTTGTAGTTGTTGTTATTTTCATAGCAATTAGTAAATTAATGACGAGATTTGGTGGAATTTCATGTAAGTATTTCAATTTTAAACGTTTATAGGAAGATATTTGATGTTTCTATAGTAATATTTATTTATTGGTTGCTATGGATTCATAATGTTTAATAGTGATGTTGCTGTCCAATTTTACAAATGGTTACTTATTTCAAGTATTTTATGACAGGTCCTTATGTCACATGTTTTTGATTTCTTTGTGAATCTGTCTTAATAATAGATTATTAGTGTCTTATATAATGGATGCTTGTCTTGGAATTCTTAAGATACAAAAATTTGATCTAGCGTCTGTCTGGTTGCGGTCCTATCTACAAGCACACCATCATCATTTCCGAGACTCAGCCTAGTCCAGTGGTTTCCAAACTTGATGTTATTACGCCTCCCTCAAAAGTATGTAATCATTGGCGCCTTCCCAACCCCCTCCATTTCATAAAAGGAACGCGTATTACAGCAATATGGATAAGAGCACAGGAATGTATCTATAATTGCTGGATTCCCTAAACATTCAGCTTTCATATGCATATATTGGATTCATTCTATCTATTATAGTTTTCGAGTAAATCAATGAAATGTGAAAACACTGCTTTTTCTAAGTTCTAATTTCAATTTTTCAACTTTGAACGCGTATTACAGCAATATGGATAAGAGCACAGGAATGTCTCTATACTTTAGCAGATATTAGGAAAATTGCTCACTGCTACTAATATTCGCGCCTCCTCTTAGACTAGTCCACGCCTCCCCTGGGAGGTGTGCCTCACAGTTTGGAAAACGCTGGCCTAGTCCAAGTCCAAGTGTACAGAACAGCCGAGTCCTGGTTTGGAAAATTGTTTATATTACCATCCTATGTTGTTACATTTAGTTCCTACTGAGAACGCGGCGGCACAAGTTAAATGAGAAAGGTGGTGGAAAGTAGAAGATAATGGATGCTTTAAGTGATACTTTTTAGTATGCATGGTTGCTAGAGTTTTCTTGCTGAAATTATGGTTGAAATTATTTCCTGATAGTTTGTTTATGGTTAGCACAATGTGAAATAAGTGTTGCCTAGCTCGAAGTAATTGAATGTGTATTCAAGGTATGCAACCAATTATGCAATGTTCAGTTTAAGTTGATTGAATCTAGCGTATTTATGAGTTTATTTTGATTGTCAGTGATGAAACTGTAGATGCGTTTGATTAGTGTAATGATTTTTTATTTTATTTTTCAGCTGAAAAAATTTTGTTTGTTATTCGAGCGGTCTATTTTGGATTTCGATTTGCGTTGCGTAACGAGAACAATTTATTTTCGACCCGTTGCCAACGCGAAGAAACTAAAGAGCGCAGGGTAGGTCGGTGGGATCAGCGATCATTGGCTCTGTATGCGCTCCGAGGGCGGCGCAAATCGATCGGGCGTGCGTTTATTTTCAGCGAAATGTCTAAATACGTGAACGCGTTCCTCTCCAAAGAGCTAACATGCATCCCTCGGATAATAGACAAGTACATCGGGAAGTACTACAGCAACGCGGTGGGAAACGCTCTGACATGGGTCTTCGTCTTGTGGTGTCTCCTGCATTTCGTCTTCGAGCAGTATTTGAATGTAAGCGGAGCTTCGGAATGTCAGTGATGGTGACACGATTCTTACGTTGGTAACGTTTTTGAAATTTCAGGTTTTGCTCAGGAAGATGCAGTACAAGACGTTTACGAGGAAGAGATTGGTGCAGGGTTTATGGTACTGTGGGTTCTATGGTACATCTTTCGTGTACTGTTTGGCTAGCATAAGTAGCGTGCAGGTAGAAGCCGATAGCTTCAGGAAGCACATTCTTAAAGATGTTGGTCAAATACCTCATCACGTTGTGTTAGGTTTAGGTTTGTTTGGAAGCTTCTTCTTCCACTCGGGCATCTGGGATTTAATCAAATTAGGTCCAAATGCGATGTCCACTTCCAACTTTCTACTCTCGTTGCTTCCTCTTCTGATCTTCCACACAGGGTAAAACAAGACAACATTCTCAGCCAATCTTAATTTTGAATTCGGAATTTTAGGAGACTGGAATTCTTCTGGGGTTTCATGGGACTCGTCAGTCTCTACAGATTTTCCTTCGATATTCTAAGATCGCTCACTGCTTCCGGTAACATCAAGAAAAAAACTTCCAAATTATTCATCAACAGTGTCTTCTTCATCTTCCTAGCAATTTTGTAAGTATAACTTAAAATAAACTTTCCACTCCTCCATAATTAAATACGTATTTTCAGTGGAATTATTCACTTTCTGTTGATCCCGATCTTCCTAATCGTACCTTTAGCCATGAGCATCACGTCCAGCACTATTACAGTCCCTCTGACACTGCTTTTGGTACTTTTGATCGCCATTTGGGTCATCGAAACGTTCAACAACGTAAGACTTTCAATTGGTAATTCGAATAAGTAATTCAACTTTTCTTGCAGCCCTTATACAAATTTGGATACCATTGGATTTATTACACGATCGGACAAGAATCCTTCGCGGATTCGTTCATCGAATTTTCACTGTTTCCTATCAGAGACGACGACGCGTACAATTTGAAAATCCTCCATAACGAGATCAAAGTGCGTCAAGCCGAGTGAGTATATAGTCAACACATTTCGCACGCAAATAATATAATCTTGTTTAGATTAGTATCGAAGAGGAGACCCAAGAACCGTGGTGTTCTCATCCAGACGTTGAAATGTAAGTTTGGTGTTTTGCATCTAGCGTGTCTGTGTTCGTTTGCTGTGTCTAAGGATTGTGATTTTACCTCGTAGCCTCGCTTCTAGGTATGGTTGCTATCAGGAGGAAACTGAATAAGAAAAGTAGTTCCGAGAGTTCGGAGGATGAAGAATCCGAAGACAAGCGGGATTCTGACGAGGAAATCAGTTCATCCTCCGAAGAAAACTCCGAGGACGAAGATGAAGAGAAGAGACAGTACAAAGAGGAGACGGCGAAAGCGTTGCTCGAGGATAGGATGGAATCAGCACCTGAACCGTTTGAGGATAGCGTCGAGATTGAGGATAAAGATGAAAACAAGAAGAACGATTGATAGTTTGGTTGCATAAACGATACGTTAACTAAAGCGGATCTTTTTTTTACTCGAATCGATTTAATTGAAAATAAAGTGTTCATTACCTTCCAATTCCCTCCAATCAAAGAGCAATTAACGCTTTATTGTTTCGGAAATTTTTAAAGCGGTGTTTTTCCTAATTTGTTGTATCATTCATTTCTTTTTTAATAATGACAGTTAATTTAGCTTTTGCACCTACAACACCTGCTTTTAACATACAAAGAGATTATCAAACGTTTATTTCTTTTGTGCATCTTACGTACAACTAAATTATATTTATAGTATTTCGAATTAGCAAAAACTTTGTTGTTTATCCTGATATAGCAAATGTCAATGCATTCTGAACCTTATATATTTATGTAGCAAGTTTTTTGTTTGTAAATATCTATAATTATTTGTTATGTTTTATAAACTGTGAGCAAAGATATTTAAACTTTTATTCATGATTTTCAAAATTTCATATTCGATTAAATTGAATGCAAGTAAATCCTACTTATTATTTGCATAAGTAGGATTTACTTGACAAGTATTAGGATAAGTTCAATTTTTTCAAAACCATAGTTTGAGTCATGGAGATTACGCGTATTGCATACAAATGCGAAACTAGACTTTTAAAATTTCTGACTTCCAAATTTGACTAAATTGATTGAAAGCAAATCTTACTCATAGAAATACTTGACAAGTATTACGATAAGTACAAATTATTTAAAAAACAAACTATGGTATACATATGCGAAACTAGACTTTTCAAATATCTGACTTCCAAATTTGACTAAATTGAATGCAAGTAAGTCCTACTTATACAAATACTTGACAAGTATTAAGATAAGTACAAATTTTTAAAAAAACAAACTATGGTAGACATGGAGATTACGCGTATGACATACATATGCAAAACTAGACTTCAAAATTTGACTAAATTGAATGCAAGTATGTCCTACTTATACAAATACTTGACAAGTATTAAGATAAGTACAAATTCTTTAAAAAACAAACTGTGGTAGACATGGAGATTACGCGTATGCCATACATATGCGAAACTAGACTTTCAAATTAAAGATATACAAATACTTGACAAGTATTACTATAAGTTCAAATTCTTTAAAAAACAAATTATGGTAGTCATGGAGATTGCACGTATGATATACATATGCGAAACTAGACTTTTCAAATATCTGACTTCCAAATTTGACTAAATGAATGCAAGTAAATCCTACTTATACAAATACTTGACAAGTATTACGATAAGTTCAAATTCTTTAAAAAATACAACTATGGTGATTACGCGTATCGCATAAATATCCTAAACTACACTATTAAAATATTTGACTAAATTGAATGCAACTAAGTCCTACTTATACAAATACTTGACAAGTATTACGATAAGTTCAAATTCTTTAAAAAACACAACTATGGTAGTCTTGGAGACTATGCGGCATACATTTGTGAAACTTGACTTTTCAAATGTCTGACTTCCATATTTGACTAAATTGAATGCAAGTAAGTCCTACTTATACAAATACTTGACGAGTATTACAATAAGTTCAAATTCTTTAAAAAACAATATATGGTAGTCTTGGAGATTACGCGTATCGCAAACATATGCAAAACTAGACATTTCAAATTTCTGACTTCCAAATTTGACTAAATTGAATGCAAGTAAGTCCTACTTATACAAATACGTGACAAGTATTACGATAAGTTCAAATTCTTTAAAAAACAATCTATGGTAGTCTTGGAGATTACGCGTATCGCAAACATATGCAAAACTAGAGATTTCAAATTTCTGACTTCCAAATTTGACTAAATTGATTGCAATTATGTCCTACTTATATAAATACTTGACAAGTATTATGATAAGTTCAAATTCTTTAAAAAACACAACTATGGTGATTACACGTATGGCATACATAGCCTAAACTAGACTTTTCAAATATCTGATTTCCAAATTTGACTAAATTGAATGCAAGTAAGTCCTTCTTACACAAATACTTGACAAGTATTGCGATAAATTCAAATTCTTTAAAAACAAACTATGGTAGTCATGGAGATTACGCGTATCGCAAACACTATATGTGAAACTTGACAAGTAATTTGTCACATTGAGCTGGTTGTATAGCACTGAAGATACTGCAAAGATTTTCTGCAATTTCTAATTAGTTTACATTAAATATTGACCGCGACGAGTGTTTACCTTTGAAGTAATCTATTTGTTCCGATTGTGTCAGCCGCTGATAAATTTACAATTGGGCAACCGACGGCAGTTGCGTAACGGCCAGAATGCATCGGAATCGCGCACGCCTTTCGCAACACCCGGAGAACAGTTTGCTTTGACCTAACCCACTTCGAAGCAGCGTCGAGACAATCGAGATCTGAACAGAATCATTCGGATTCCCTTTCATCCCAATATACACAATTCTTCTCTTAACTCTTCATACATTTCTAGACCCAACAAACTATGTCAACTGAATCAACATCAAGATTCATGAAAAAGTTAAATTAAAATAATATTTTTACAAATTCCAAATTATGAAGATTACAATTTGGACAAACTCAACTTAGTTATATTTTATATTGTAAATTTAACAAGAAAATGATGATGATTGTTTTAAATAAATTGATGTAGTTGGAAATATTTAGGAAATAATGTAGAAAAGAAAAAGTGGTTTAATGAAATATAAAAAAAACATGTTTTTTTGATGTCTTTCATTAAATTCCCAATTCTATTGTTTCCATTAAAGGAAACAATGCGCTATTAACGTAACCGATATAGGAATTACTGGAGCAACGAAAATACAGTTTCGGTGGATTGTAATAACATTGCAATTAGCGATGATTTAAACCATAAAACTTTTTCTGGTTTTAGGTAATTAATTTGCGATCAAAAAAATATTTACGATTATTAAGTTATGGAAAAATTATAGTGATACTTTCAATAATAACTTGTTAAATTACTAAATTTAGATACAGTGGAACCTCGCTTAACAAGTTTTAACTTCTCTTCTCATCGTCATTCGTTATGCAAAACTTCGCTCGTTAAGCGAGTCATTTTTCTTACAATTCGTTTTGCTCGTTATGCGAGTCATAATGCTGTCACATTAATTGTATAGTTGTCAACTTGACGTTTGTAAATATGTCAAAATTATTGCTAAATACAAAGATCGTCCTTGAATAATTGCATTTATTTTACTATTCAATCTCTCTAGACGTAAAGTACAAATTATTTAGAAAAGTGCTTGATTTAATGGTAGATACTTATGGATAAATTATCAATAAAAGAAATCGACGTGATCAAAGACGAAATGTCAGTTGTTGCACATGGAATTGTATATTGGTAAATGTATTATCAAATGAAGAAATGTTGCACAAGATGCTAATAAATTAATATTAAAAAAAATATGAAATACGATTTTAATTGTATAACGTTCTTGTTGCCAACCACAAAAAATATATTATAGAAAAAAGAAAAGAAGATTCCGTAATTGTATAATTAGCAATACGTCAAGTAGTATTAGGTAAGCAAACGTAGAAATAAATAAACATGGTTAGGATGCACACAATAGTATAAATATTTGGTTGTTATTTTCTTTATTATTGTACTTGGGCAACGATGGAAAACAAAAGCGTTGTCCGAGCGCATGCAGTTCTTCGCGTCACTCGTTATACGAAACTTCGCTCGTTAAGCGAGTCATTTTTCTTACAATTCGTTTTGCTCGTTAAGCAAAATGCTCGTTATGCGAGTCATAATGCTGTCACATTAATTGTATAGTTGTCAACTTGACGTTTGTAAATATGTCAAAATTATTGCTAAATACAAAGATCGTCCTTGAATAATTGCATTTATTTTACTATTCAATCTTTCTAGACGTAAAGTACAAATTATTTAGAAAAGTGCTTGATTTAATAGTAGATACTTATGGATAAATTATCAATAAAAGAAATCGACGTGATCAAAGACGAAATGTCAGTTGTTGCACATGGAATTGTGTATTAGTAAATGTATTATCAAATGTAGAAATGTTGCACAAGATGCTAATAAATTAATATTAAAAAAAATATGAAATACGATTTTAATTGGATAACGTTCTTGTTGCCAACCACAAAAAATATATTATAGAAGAAAGAAAAGAAGATTCCGTAATTAGCAATACGTCAAGTAGTATTAGGTAAGCGAACGTAGAAATAAATAAACATGATCAGGATGCACACAATAGTATAAATATTTGGATGTTATTTTCTTTATTATTGTACTTGGGCAACGATGGAAAACAAAAGCGTTGTCCAAGCGCATGCAGTTCTTCGCGTTTCGTTTAAGGTCGCTGTCGCAATTAGCATTTTGAAAACGTCGTCCTGGAAACGCCAAATACGGATCGAACGTACTGACTTGAGTTGAGTTGAGTTGACTTGACTGAACCCTCGATATCTGGGAACTAAATATTTGTATAAAGTAAATGCACTTGGTTGCTTCATCCGCGAATTCCATCTGCAAACATTGTGCAGTCCTTTCGCAAATATCGTGTGGACCGTATTAAAATTCGAGTCCGAGTCGCGAGTGCGTGCGAGTGCAAACGCACATCACAGACTCCGCAAACATTTCAATTGTGTTACGTTACCTTTGAGATGGAAAAAAGAAGAAAGTCTCGAGTCTCCAGGACGACCAAAACGTCTTCGGCGGTGGCGGCCGTCACCTGACCCAGTCGCCCCGAAAAAGTTTCACTTTCTTTACATGGGCCACATGTGTATTCTCACTTCTTTTTTTTTCTTGTTCGTTCATTCTTTCGGTTACTCGGTCAACAGCCAAAGAAGCTCGAGGAGACGAACTTGATAAATACCGGTATAAATGAGTTCACACCGCGACCCTAACGAATCGAACCAATAACGTACATCAATTTTTTTTGTTTTTCTAGATCCTTACAACATCGGACCTCTTACATCACATTTAGACAGACGGCTTTCTTCCAATCCAAGATGGATTTGCATTAAAATCTCGGAATTTAGAAAATTAATGAATA